TGGTAACGATGTAAAACAGTTACGTTCTACTACTGTGCACCTTGATCCTTCCTCTACCTGCGCGCGAAAGGTAAACATTGTCAATGTAGTCGAACGGGTTCGATCTGAAAGTGTTTCGTCGTCGATTTGCATCGCTGCATACGTTCAGCGATTCTGGTGGAGAAGTTTTTGAATTTTAAATCGACCATAACTACTTTGAAAGCGATAACCTCTGTTTAATTCTCGAAATGAATTATTTTCCGAACTTTTATTGTACCACCCGGTACGACAGATTGAGCATATTTCTTGAAACTATTTTTGTTGTAATTTTCAATTTTTTTCTTTCTTAAATATAGTAACTATTCATATTGTAAATTTCCGATACTTTTCTTTTTATATATAGTGAAGTGTTATTTTTTTTATATTTTCTAAAATTTTGTAAGATGTTTTTGCGAGGATATGAGATAGTATTTAGCGATGTATAATTAAATATAGGGTTCTATGTTAATTTCTGTACATCATTTTCTTTTTTCTCAAGATCTTCAATATTTTGTATAACTAAGGTATTTGAGCGGTTTATAAATAGAAAAAGATCGAGTGCCTGAGTTTTTATTGGTTTGAAACAGACGTATTGGCCGATTGTGTTTCTCAATAAATAGACTGCAGTGTTTAAATCGACTGCAGTCGATAGTGTGTTGTTTATCATCTGTCCACAATTATATTTACTTTATTGCTATTGGTCTGTCGTTGAACCTTGGCGATACAAATAGCGAGTTCATTGGCTATTGACGATTTTTACAACGATTTCGTAACAAGTAAATCCGTCATCGACGTAAACACAGACAATACTTTTACAACAAGCATAAGGATAAATAAAGATACAAATGTTTTGAAATAAAAGTAGCAAGAAAATTATATCTTGAATATATTTTTCCACCGAATCAACCTACAACCTAAGAACTTAAGAAAACATGTGTATAAAAAATAAAATAGTGCACAAATCGTACTTAAAATTAATTTGCGTAAATGTAACATGAAAGATTCGTTTAAAACGAAAATAATGAAATTCCATTTCGTGGATTTTTATTAACATACCTAGCCCTGGTGATCGGCACCGAAGAGAAGCACAAGTGGATCAAGGCTCGAGTTTCGAACTCCATCGTTCTATCTTGCTTGTCAATCAATTACAGTACGTAAATATTTCTACAAGATGACTTCTTCAGGCTCGTAGGAACACAGTATCAACAACGATTTTTTAGCCTCCCAAAAATCGTTAGGAACCGATATTCACCTGACTACACTAACCAGAACCTAAGAATAGTCATCAGAAACTGACGGAAAGAAAAGGGAAAACCTGAAAGCAAGCAGTGCAATAACCACCGTCAACTTTCTTCCCTAAATAGCGGATAATAAATCGTGAAATTATTCAGCAGTTACGTGATAAGTTGCTTCGAAATTAATACTAAGCAGATTTCCGTCGCTCTTCCCAATTTTTCCAGTAAACCGAAGAAATCTCCCGTGAAGAAACGAAGTGTTAAACTTTCTCGAAAAAGTCAAACGGTTAAACTTTCACGTGAAAAATACGAAGAATCATCGATGCACCGGCCCACAGTGACAAAGTGTATTCTAAATTTACCACAAATTTCGAGTACGAGAATGGCTCTCCCTTTCTACACCCACGCGGTGATCTAGAAAAAGAAATCCCATTCAATGTGAACGACTGCTTGATCCAAATATAACCACCGTCCAAGAAAGACGATAAAATACGAAATCACCAGAAAAAAAGACACTCCTCGAAATAACAATAGTAATCAACAAAGGAGATGTTCAAGCTGAAAGTTGTTCGAAACCAGCTAACTTCTCGAGGAACCTCGAACGAAGGAATCGTCGTCCAGCGACGATAACAAATGACTACAGCTGAGTTTCTTCCAGTGTACACAACGTAGCTTTCTCATGGCACCAGCGGAGAGATTAATAGAAACCACGTTGGTATCGGTTTTTCTTGCGAATCACTCTTGCCGAGGAACGTAGCTTCGCTCCTAGAGAGCCGAAAGCCAGTCGAGCGATAAAAAAGATGCTCATTATCTACGAAACGAGTGATTATACTCGGTACGATCTTCTTTGATCTTTTATCGCGAGTTTCGTCGGTGGAGTGAGATTGGAACGATGAATCGCAGATTGGCAGCTGAAGTCGAAGAAAAGTGTGAAGAGCAATGTGTGCACGAGTCCTCCACGGGCCAGCCGGGAAATCAGACTGACGGTGTGTTTGAAGAAATACTACCGTGCAACCCTCGATACGTCCTTTTGACCCTTTCAATAATTAACGAACGTGCTATAACGCAGAGAGAATGTTATACCCCCAAGTTGGATATGCAAAATGCGTGTCAAGTTAATTGATTTTAAGGGAGGTTGTATGGAAACGATATGTATAAAGTGGAGGAACAATTGGAGAATCGGAAGTGTAAGTTTAGATGGAATGTTCTTGAAGTGAACTGACACAGCTGTTGAACGGTAAATGGAAATGTGGTGGGAATTGTATTACTCGGAATATGTTTTCTTTTCTTTCATGTTTGCTGCTTATAATTAGAGCGACCGAGGAGGAACTTTTTCGTGTGACTGAATGGAAAAGAAATATTAACTTTAAATTGTGTTATTTCAGATTAATGTTAACCTTGATAAAGTATATTGACAGAATGTTTCCCGGAGAACTTACGAAATATTTATGTTAATACCCAATAAATGAAAAGAAGTAATATACGGTTTAATTTTCGTTGTAAAAAAATAGTAACCAATGGAAACTCACAATGCGGATTTCAAAGGAATCAAGTGTTATCAGGTTTTGTTTATTTTCAGAAATTAACGAAAAAGTTTGAATTTTCCCAACTAATCAGGGGCGCGAAAAATATTTAAAAAATCGAGCTTTTCATCTTAGCATGTTTTCACGCTATTGTTTCATGCTTAGGTTGAATTTCACAAAAGTTACATCTCCTGACGCAAAAGTAGCTAGAATGAAAATAAACTATTGCTACACCTGAAACCCAAAAGTCAGGTATCTTTAAAAACGCCTCAACTATGTTGAAAAACACGTATCCAGGAAACACCTTCAACAAAGAAAACCACTGCACGCTAAATGCAATTTACAAAACCCACCTATTCGCATATTTAAAGAAACCGTTAACAATTCTACAGCGAAATGAAACAACGATAACAGTAAACTGTATGATAAAGGTACCGTGAATTACGTAAACTCATCCAAACCGTTCAACGTATCCACAAACACAAGTGCCCTAACCTAAAATTAAACAAGCACATATACAATTTAATAGCACGCTTCCAAGAGCCAAAGCCATTTACTCCTAAAGGAATTTCCCAGCAGTCACTTGGGGCCGTCTCATCGCGGAAGCGGAAAACGCATTTTTCTATTAGCCATTTGGCCGTTTCGTAGAGGAAATATGTACACGCTCTGCTCTGTGAATCGGATTGCCTGGCACGGATCCAAAAGGTCGACCGTTCAGCCGTGCTGCGCATCAATAAGAGGCGCGTTTTAAAGAGGACGTGAATTGTGCGCGCCTCGACGAACGTTCCTATCCCGGCATGCCTCACGGGACCGCACCGCCGCGCCGCCTAAAACCGTGAGATAATAAAAGCAGCCGGTAGAGGGAACAGCGTCGCGTTTCTCTGCATTCTGCCCCCGATACGGGCATAAATACCAGGCGTTTACTGTGCAAAAGTGCAGGCAATACCGCAACATCTCAATGGACCTCGAAACCGAGGAGAATTCGACCATTCGGCAGGCAGTTTGGAAGTAATTGGAAATCCTGATCCAAAATACGAAACGAGCGGAGGGGGAAAGTTTGATACCGGAGGATCGATGAAGCATGAACTATACAGAGATGCTAGATAGGGAGATTTATGTTAGCGATAATGAACGTAACTTAAAGTTCTGGAAAAATTGGATTTATGGAGTTATTGTTAGCTGTTAATTTGGCTGTACTGTTTTTCCATTATTTTTATTTCCTAAATTGGCGTATATTAACCGTTTCACTGTTATTGACGCCTGTAGGCGCTTTAAAAGTTTTGTTTGCACTGTGCTATTGAAGCCTTTTTGGCGCTCTTCCATATTAATTTAAGCCTCAATTTTATCCTTTGCATTCTTTCACCTTAATTGAATAAAACAGATTTTAAAACGATACGGCCGAAAGAAACGATTTTGCGGAAAATGAAAATCTGCCGCAGCGAAAGGATCAAGTCTATGCAGAAGTTCCCATCGTATTTTTCTGAAGAATGTTTATTTATTTTTTTTTTTTTTTTATTCATTATTAGTCTCGTTATCAAAATAATGGTAATATAATATTGTCATAAATACCAGTTTATTTTTTTTTTTTTTTTTTTGTATTCATTATTAGTCGTTATCAAAATAATGGTAATATAATATTGTCATAAATACCAACTGTGAAAATTTAAAAAGGAAAAGAAGCGTACAGTGCCTTTTAGTCCCATCGATTTCACAGGGGATGGAAACTTTTTCGTAGACCTAATAAAATTGAAGAAACAAAGGATTTTCAGTAGTTACTATCCACTGTTTTTAGTTAATATAATACTGACAATAACGTGAAACTATTTTCGAGAATTTTCCAATACGAAGACTGGAATATCTGAAAAGGACAAATATGCTTGATCAAATGAACTGTTTGCCCTAGATGTAACAAGATTGGGTTTAACTGCGATGCAATTTGTTAGCAATTTTTCCCCTTTTATCCTATTCGTTTTGACATTGTACAGATTGCACAATGCAGACGGTATAATCTGTGACTTGGATCGTTTTCATAATTGAAAACACATTTTACACCGAATTAAGAATATTTTTATCCTAACATTTAACAGGATCGTTTGGATCGC